GTTTAGGGTTTGTGGTTTAGGGGTTAGGGGTTCGGGTTTGGGGTTTAGGGTCAGAGGCTCGGGCTTAGTGTTGCGCAGCGTCCGGGAAGGGCTTGCTTAGGTTCCCCGGCGGTGCTTATGTATCGTAAGCAGAAAGGATGCTGATAGTGGTGGTTTAGGGTTTAGGGTATCGGAGTTGAGGAATTTAGGCTTGGGGTGTTGAAGGTTTTGGGGATTTGGGAAGCATCGTCTTGATGCAGGTACAATCCGACATACTGGATGCCCTAAACCCCTAGATCCTAAACCTAAACCCTGAACCCCTAAACTCTAAACACCCCAATCCCTAAACCCTAAAACCCGAAACACCAGTTACACCCGAGCAGCACGCGGGTAGCATCGGCCACGCCTTGGGCGCTCTTGCAGGCCCGAAACTGTTCCAGGGCCTTCTTGGCGACAGACTGGGAATCCTCAACATCCAGATGGGTGGTTGTCAAAATTATGGTCCCTTTTTGGGTCCTTATTATAATACGGCACCTATTATTTAGGGTACCCCAAAAGGGACCCGAATTTTGACAACTACCCAGATAGTAATCATAATACTGCGGTAGGACGAAAGTTTGACCTACTACCTGCTGCGTCGAACAGAGGCCTCCATTCCCCCGTAGAACCCTAACAACCAGGACCCACCGGCTACGCCTCCGGAACATTAAAGGAGCATACCTTACAAAACTGGGTTTAAAATACTCCGCTGGCCAGGCCACGTAAATCGCACTTTCCTGTACTCCGCTACTCCGCAAGACGTGCTAAGACAAGAAAGGCCCAGCAGGTCAAAACTCCCGATGTAACAATCATCATACTCATGACAATAGTGTTGATGATAAGCATAACAACAACGATGACGATAACGATAACGACGACAAAAACAATAATCACAACACTCAGGGTTCAGGCTTCGGAGCTTCGGTTTTCACTCTTTAGCATGTAGGACACTTGATACGGGCTGCAAACAGAACATGTGCCTGAACCCTTCCTTGGGCCATTCAGCCATGAAGCACAACCGTCATTGCGATGCAGACCCCTAGACCATGTCGAGTTGTCTCAGCTCCATGCCTCCAAACCGTCTGGCTGCACTAGCCCTTGAGCTTTTGCCTCTGGGATCCACCCCAAAAAGCCCACGTGTAAAACCCTAAACCCTAACATGTTCCCCGGTCCTCGATACGTCCCCTGCTCAGAGACGCCTCTGCTTCGGCAAGCAGGCGGGACGCTTCTTGGAGGTCCGGCTGTAGCGAGGCATCTTCTGCCAAAAGGGCGTGCTTGAGACCTGGCCAGGGTTTAGGGGTTTAGGGGT